GCCCGCAACCTTCGACACGCATAAATGAATGATTTACGGATTAGATTTATGAATACAGATCTACTTTTTGAAACGTAAGACTTGGATTCCTATTTTTTCCAATTTACATATTAAATCTTATAAGACCATATATGTGAGAAACACAACCTAAAGAAATCAATGTCTTAAACGATCTGGCTGGATCTTAAGTGCTTGTATGATTTTATATGCTACGTATGTAGTCCTTTTTTAAAATGCGCGCTGAAATGATTTTCTAATTCAATTTTTTTTCAATCATCAAAGTTCAAGCAAAATGAAATTTGCGCGCGCGCAAAATAAAGTATTACATAATATAGCTACCTCTTCAATCATCGGAAATTGAGCGAAAAATAAAAAAATTTAGCAATTTATTTTGAAGTACTATACAGTTGCCTTTTTTCCAATATAAAATAAAATAATATAATTTATTATATTTCGTGAATACTTTTAATCTATCATGCTGACGATCGAACATGTCGCCAGTTTGGCCTAGGTCTTTGCCCTACAAAACTAATGTAGGTCGCACGTAATGATAAACCGGACGAGCGGCTAAATTTCTCAGAGTTACCACTGCAACCACGAACATAATTCGCGGTCAATAATGTCCGTCATCAGGACCCGCGTCCAAATTATCGCACTGCCAGTGCATTGTCTCGTATGTCACCGCTATCGAATCACCAATTCAAATTCGAAACAAACCTCGACGACATGATCGCGTCGTGACGCTTTATCATCGTTCTCTTTCACTTGTATTATCAGTTCCGTATCATCCGTGCATTGAACTCAGTCAGATCCTATCATCCTCTTGGCGCCGCAATAACATATACGGCCCTGTGTTAGATCTTCTGTCATGAAGGTATCGATTTCTAAACGGTCTATAAAATTCTCGAAGATTCTGCCGTCATAAAAGAAATTATCTTTACTTCCTTTAAATGACTTATAAAAACACGGTTATGTATTATAGACTATAAAAATAGATGAAGTTAATTTTGTCTAATCTAATTGGAGTAATTGCGATAATATTATATTGTGGCATCATAACGTTCTTTTAAATTAATTAACTATTTCTCATTCTTTAACGAGTAATTAAAAACACTTTAAATTATTATTATATAATTTCAGTTTTATTGAATAAATGGAGAACTATAATCGCTGAATAATTTTACTGTTACTTTGATTTAATTGCTATAAATTAAATTTTGTTACCGCCATTCAGTTATTACACAATTAATTCAATTCATAATTAATTCATTAAGCCTATATTTTGTATTTTCTTGGAAGAAAAGATTTCGAAATAAAAACATCTTCAATAACAATGAAATTAGGAAAACGAGTAGTCCGTCAAGACTGACCTATTTTTCCTGTTACTTCATGCTAGCACGTTCAAGGATTAATAACGAAGGAAGACGTATTTCCTAATCCCTAATTCGTCTACTAGTTCGGACAGGCTCTTCACGATCGCAGTCACGCACGAAACGAGTCGGCGGTCTGTGGCGGTGGTCCGTCTGTCGGGATAAGAAAGAAAGGAAGCCGCTCCTATTATTACAAAAAGGAATAAAATAGATCAGAGCATCGGATGCACGTCGGAGGCTGTGAGGAGAATTCCTGCGAAGAACGGAACCAGTTTCCAGAAAGTTGTGAATGTCGAACTCCTCACTATCGAGCGACCATCGGCCGAACAGCTTCAGCATTCGACCATCTGCTCTCTCCTACCTGGAACACGCGTTCACCTGGCCGGTCTCCCTCCCCCCCGCGTACTTCATCGCCGCCTCCACCCAACCAATCGGTCTCGTTCATCTTATTTTAGGGCCATTCAGCCATCGCCACCGGTTCTTCGATGGGCCACGTTCCTTCGCGGTACCTCACGTGGAGAAGTCTCAATGGAATTCTCCTCGGCGAACGCACTTTTTTGCCAGACTTTCCTTTTGGACAACTGCGAGAATCTTCGTTTCCCCCCGCACGTTGTGAACCCTAAGTATGTCCTTTCGATTTTTGATGACGAATTACGTAATCGGTGCATGATCGTGCGGAAATGAATATTATATATGTAAAAAAAACCCTTAGCTCCTCAAATTATATATTATTACGTTTCTGATCTCGAATCTTTTTGATGAGCTTTATTCACAAAAAAATATACATACAAACAATAAATAAAAATTTTTTACTGATTCAATAATAAAAATTATTTCTCTATGTGATCTCTTTCAATCGTTATTTAGTTCAAGATTAACGACATTAACGAAATAAAAAGAAGGAATTTTTTACAAAAATCTGCTCAAAAAGAAAAGGTAAATGTTGATTTGCTCCATCCATTGTTTTATATAAATTTTCTATATAATTTTTTATCTGTTTTAGTCGCAATTTAGTAGAATTAGCGTAATCAGTACTGTTCTGCGACTTGACGATCAATTCGAGTGACGTGACCGACTCGCCCCGGCGCGCTGCGATGTTTTCCGGTGCGTAGGTACACCAGGAAGCGTAATTAAGCTTTTTTTTTAATTCGAAATTGCTTCTTCCGCGGTAGCGATCATGACATGCTCGCCGATTAGTCGTACAATGGTGGCTATTGTTGCTAGCAACTATTCATACAGAAGATGTTAAGGCGCCTTTTTCATTCCATATTCGCTTTAAATCTGCATTGATACATATCTGAATACTTACAGGATGCGATTTTTCATTTCTCCGAGACGTCCAAAAAAAAGTTCAGACACATATTTCGACGCTAGTTACCGTGATAAAACAACATTCATATATCGCAAAACAAACCGGTCCTAACATTCCTATATTTCATTATTATTAAAAAAATATTTTTTTAACGTATTAATTAAAAAACGAAATAAAACTTCTATATAGATAAACGTAGATTGAAAGTACGATAACATGTAAGATATTTTAATTGGAAAAACAAACGTTTCGACTCATATCCTTTTAGATACGATTATGGAATCGTTTAGAATGGATTCTATCAGAATTGTTCAAGTATTCTCTATAGGTTTCTATTGCGTTTTTTTTTTAAGGATTTTTATACATATTTTCAAAGCGATAAAAAAATTATGAAAAAATTATAGATTTTCTAAATCACGTTTAAATATAATAGGTACGACAAATTTACTATTTGGATCATAAGTTATTTTAATAAATTGTAGTATCTTTTAAATCTGTGCTCTAAAAAATAAATATAAAATGGAAATATATTATAAAATAAATGATAAAAATCTCAATTTTTAAATATAAGTACATTATGTACGTAGAGATTATTTACGTAAAGTTACATTGCGATGCATAAATTAGTTGTCCAGGAAATAAACAAAATATTTATTTGTTTTATATCTTTGTAACTAATCAGTGAATCGCAATAAAACTTTGCATAAATTATTTTGAATATTTAAAGTACTTGTAAAATAAAAATATAAATTTTTTTATCAATGTTAAAATTTTAATTTTTAACAATGAAAATAATAACAAATAAAATAAATAAACTACAAAAATGTGTTATTTAACAAAAATATAATCTTATTCACATAATTTTCATATGTGTAGTTTATTTGAAGTGTAAATATTAAACATACTTCCAAATTTAAGTATCTGCAGACTGAGGGTCAAAAGATGTAAATATAGCTTCAAACGAACGTTGCAAGCAATTGAAAATCCAAATTTAATTTTCTTTGCAGGAACTGTACGTCTTTAAGGGAAAATGGAATAATTCCGATCAGAATCCATTCTAAACAGTTCCATAATACGTGCCCTGGCTCCTCCGAAAAAATGCTCATTTCGCGTCGTACGAGTTGTCACAAATTAATGTGAATGCGAGATCTTTAAATAAGATCTCGCGAAGGATCGACAATGCACGGCAGCGCAATCTCGATTTTTGCCGGCGAGTAATGAGGCGCGAGCAAAGATCGGTATTGACGCGTTCTCTCGCTATGTTGGAGTAATGATGGCCTGTTACCGCGATCTACTCCATTGCTATCATCATAACGCAACGTGCGCCTTTACGCGATGTTCGTTACAGAAGCGATGCCTTTGAGGCGCGATAATAAATGGACAGTTTCGCAATGGGGAATGCTCTTAACGCGCTACACGTTTTAAAGAGAGGTACGTAAAGTTACACGAACAACAAGTGAGAATTCGCACGATTTATGACGGCAGAGTGTATACGTTTCCGCCGTAAATGATTTTGTATAATTCTTACGCTCGTTCTCCGTTTTATTTTACGCGCGTTCTCACGGTGTATTTTTATCCAGGCGAGAATACGATAAAAATATAAATACAATAACCATCGGAACTATTTCCATCCTCACTTATTTCTTTCGTTTATCGTCGATGCGAATTAATTCATATTAAATTAATGGACGTTAAATATACGAATTAATTCTAACGGATATTAAATTAATTGACGTTAATTAATTGACGAATTAATTCTAATGGATATTAAATTAATTGACGTTATAAGAATCACGCAACCTGTATTTATCTGACCTTTGAATTTTAGCAAAAAATAAAATACGAGTCTGTCTTACATCTTTATATAGCAAGAATAGCATCCGTCATAAAGCATAACGGCACGAAAATAAAACGTTTCGATTTTCCTCGCACACAATAAATATGCGAGGTGGATAACGAGCAGATAACAAATTCTTATCGCAAGCTCCGATAAATTTTGTTTCAAATGTCAAAGTCTCTGTTTAGAGAAGCGCGTTATCATAAAATAACAATTTCAACGGTCAGAAATAAGATGCTCTCTGTTCTCTTGTTTTTAATAAAATAACTTACTCGAGTAACGTAAACGAAATCAGAGGTTCCGGAAACTTTCAACAATTTTACGACAGAGCCCGGATGGCAAGCTGACGTTATTCGTAGTAGCTTTAATATAATTTTAACGTTAACCTTGTTACCTGGTTACGCTCGCGTCCATCGAGCGTCGATCGGACGATGCCAGATTAAGCTGGAGGCGTCAATAGCGGAATCGAGAAGACACTCACCTTGCACGGCGAGAAGAAGCACCAGGAGGCCGAGTATTCGTGGCGGCAGCATTTTTCCTCTCACGTCCGTTCCTCTTTTCCCTCTCGTTTAAATCACTTGACAATCAACGGCACAAATGCGCACCACTCTCCCCTCGAATCGAATGTCGCGGAGGAGACAGAAATCTTCGCCGGCGGTCTTCGTCTCGGATCCAGAGATCGCGCGATCGATGATAATTCGCGCGCCCGGCTCGAATCGCGGCTCGAAGATCGAACGCACCCGCGGCGGTGTGTATCCCGTCACTGCGTACCGTCCTCTCGCAGTTGTACGGTAATCGAGTACGCCGAACTGGACACCGAATACAAACTGAAGCTCCGAACGAGCGAAGCGAACACGCGCGGTGCGCGGTATCCAAAGAGCGACGGCGGAATCGCGCGCCCCCGGCTTTTTACGGGGACTGCGCATTCGGGCTGCGCAGTCGCCGGATGAACCTCTGTGTGTGTGTGTGTGTGTGTGTGCGTGTGCGTGTGTATGTGTGACGCACTTGCTTTTACTGCGACACGTATGTACGTGTGTTTAAGGTTCGCTCCGCGTGTGAGGTTCATTTAACTCTTTTTTTCAATTCGTGGATACGTATATCGAATTTTAAATAATAAAAATTTTTATGGACCAATTTTTATTGGACTCAATTATAATTCTATCACTATCATTTGGTGAACTTTATGCCATTGTTTTATTACATCAAATATAAGTTTGTATTATGTTTTGTTTATTGTTTTTATAGTCAACCGTTAATAATTTTTATTATAAAGAATAATAATATTAATTCCTTGATACGAAACATATAATGTAGTAAGTTATGGCTATTAGGAATTAGCGCTGTACTAAGTGCGCGATGAATTTTTTATATTAGTAATTTTATTTAATTAATAATTAGTAAACATGTTTCGGCTAACGTTAAATGGCGAAAACGAATATTGGAGGTTTATACATTCTAACTTACGAATCAACTCTATGTAAGAAACATTATTGTACTGAGGATGACTATAAAGTTAGCCGAAACATGTTTCCTAATTATTAATTAAAATTACTAATATCAAAAATTTATCGCGCACTTAGTACATTTAATTCTTAATAGCCATAGCTTACTATATTAAATTTTTATTATGTTTATATCTAATTAATTACTAATGTTTAACATTGATAATGATCCGATCGGAGGCGAAACGTTTGTTTTTGTAATGCTTTTCACTTGTAATTTTTTTATGTTAATATACAATTAATACTGAATTTATTGTATTTAGTTCGTAATCTTTTTCAACATTATTTCTTTTAATTTTATATTACTTGAGCCATATTATATTGTGTATTAAAAAATTTTTATATTTTTGTGCGGATCATTGTGACGCTTCAAAAACGCTATCTTTTAAATAACAAATTACAAATATAATAAAATGCCTGTATGAGCCTATGGAATGTATTTGCCAACAAAGTTAACTACGAGTACATCGTTGGTAAGTACATATATTCCAATTTGCGAATTATATCTTATCGCCTTATAAATATATCTGTTATTTGCACATCAACAATCAGAGAGGCTTATATTTTACCTCAAACACGATACTTATAAAATATTTACAAAATATTTATAAATATTTATAAGGTTTATTTTAAGTATTGTGTAAATATTTTGTGGTCTCTTAGATTGCACAGATTATTATAAACATTTATTATACATATTATGAAATATTTATTATGTAATAGTATTATGTTATAGTAAATGCTATGAAAATACTTAATAAGACATTATAATCAAAGTAAAAAATACTTATTAGAAATATTTATTTATATTTATCATAAATATTACATAAAAAATATTTAGTCTAGATTTTAATAATATTTCGAATAAAGTACTTTACATAAAATATGTATGAAATATCTACATAACATTTCAAAAAATGAATATTAATAAATATTTAAGGTATCATAAATATTCTGTGCTGTCTGGGACTTATATTTGATTTATTCTTAGAGTTATAAAATTTTTTTTTAACAAAGAACTTTTCTCGTCTGATTTTATCTCGTTTTCATTTTTACATTTTTTGTGGGAGCCTTAATTGTGAGTCTATGAAAGGTTAATACGAACCTAAGTTTCTTCTGAAGATGAGACATGTACAAAAAACACTCGATGTATGTTACGTAAAATATAACGTGCAAGTTTTAATTTTCAAGATATTAACTCGGAGATGGAAAAAAACATTTATAAAATCCCATAATCACCGTATCTCTTATCTTTACGCAGACACGCGACACGCATAATCTCAGATGATACGCGATAAAGCCAAATGGATCTTTTACAAGATCTAGAATTCAGATTGCAATTACGTCTTCTTATCGACTTCTTATCGATGTCACGTTCTACTCTACTTGTTTCCGCGTATTCGCTTATACATATAAATGCACGGATGTTAAAGCACACTTTTTCCGATTTTATCGATATCGATCTAGACGCGTTCTCTGCTGTATCTCTCTTACTTTATATAAATATCTTTTTCTTTACACACTGTTCTTAGATAAAATTGCGTTTCATAATCCAAGATGTTTAGCAATTTCAAATAATTCTGGTAATAAAAACTCGGTGTAGTTTATTCAAATTTATTCACGTACTAGCTTTTCCAGAGACTTCGTAATGTTATTTCTTTCAGTCTAATGTTAACGGTGCACCTTTGGATTCGAGGTAAATTCGTCACGGTCTCTCCAATTCCAAAGTTGGCTGCGAAAACATGAATGTAAGTAGGTGTAAAGTTTCTCGCCGGCGCACGCTGCGACGCATATAAGCGACGTAAACGCAACCGGCATGCCAACAATCGCTTACGTGCACACATATGGGATCCGATTTGCACGTGATGGATGTACCGCCTCTCGGTTTCCTCGTCCCATCCACTCGCTCATCGTGTAAAACACGACGACGACGTTAAACGCTCGATTATTCCCGCTTTCTAAATAAAGTGGCCGATGCCACTTCAACATTGCACGAAGGACGTGTCCTTTCCCTCTCGAAGGTTCTGTCTGACATTCCTAGCTCCCACGTTGCGATCCGATTAGTCGTACAAGGAGGAAACATGAATCATTGCCATGGGATTTCAACATAGAATTAAGGAATGATTAGTCTGAAGATCTGTTAACAAGCAGATCGTAATGCTAGAATTACTGTGAAATCAGGACTTGTTAATTAATTAACAAGGAGGATCTGCCGTTACAAATAAGCGTACGTTTTTTAATGATAATTGTTTAAATGATAATTGTCTTCAATTTTCTAAGTTCTTTGTTCTCCTCGGTAATTATATTAACAATCTTCTTTTAAAAATTAATTTAAAAAGAAATAAGATTGATTTCTCTCTCAAGGACAAGCGAGTTCATAAAAATTAAGTTCCACGTCGTTAAATATATATTCAGGCGTCCATACTCATCCAATATTCATATATATCCATATTTTTCATAAATTTTTCTAAATTTCCACAAGTTAAAATCGCTCTCAAATAATTCTTCTTTTCATTTTCTTTATAAATGCTTACTTATAGTTAATTTATTCATGATTTGTTCTACGATCTGTTTGTACTACGAATAAAGTAAATGAATGAATATCGTGACAAAATGAGATATGTCATTATTTTAAGTGTCTCGTGCTGGATATAAATAAAGATGTATGCACGATCAATTAATGTTAAATATACACGAGTCGTCGTGATGATGAAAAACTTTCTCTTTTTGGCCAGAGTTATATTAACACGTTGTCACCGAACTGTACAAGCATGACTTATCAACGCAACGGCGTGACTAATCCGCCACGAAAAAATAGTGATGTCATGCAGCGAAAAGGTGCACATTCGGTCATGGCGGTCAATCGACTAAATCCATTTCTATGTGGAATTATGCAGATTGTCTTTGTTATTTTTACAACAAATACCAAATGTCGGACTCTCTCTTTATGTATTTTTTTTTTTTTTTTCGAGAAAGTCGCGATCGGAACTTCGCTTTTCTAGAAGTCACGAAGAATCGCTTTTCTATTACTATTGCCTTTCACCGAAAATAAATATGTTGTCAGGGGAAAGGCAGATATGTATACTCGGTATTAATGCGCTAACAAGACGTGATTCACTCGGCCACAGATAAGCAATTGTAATTAACGTAATCCTTACGCGGAGAGATACCATGTAATATCACGCGGATAAAATTAACGCTTGACTCGATAGCCTTCAATTCACTTCCTGCATGATCTCAACGTGCAACGTATTAAGCGTATTCAAAAAAGAAATCAGTCTATTGGTGCCTCCGGACGATATGATCAACCTATGCCAATATTAGCAAATATCATACACATACAGTGAGTGCAAAAAGTATTCGTACAAGGAAATTTTTTATTAAAAAAGTCTTATTTGTAGAAAGTAAACATTAATTAGCAATTTTATACAATGAATACGTTCTGTTCTAACATAAACAAACGAGCTTCGTATGCATTCCTGATTTTAGAAGCTAAATTTCTCAATAAATTTCTCGACTGTACGAATACTTTTTGAGCATCCAAACGATACAATTTTTAATTTTCGCTTATTTTTCAGATGATATATTTTCTATAATTAATACACATCTTTTTAGTATATATAATTTTAAAAAACATATACAGTCTATTTTATTCTTTATAAATAAATTGTTAATTACCCAACAAGAAATGATCGCCAATTAAACGTCGAATCGACGTCAAATTGGTGTTGAAATCATCGTATCGATATCGATTCGACATCAATTCGATGACTCATTTTTCAACAAATAATATTTACTTTTTAAAAATAAAGTTTTTTAAAAAACTATCATAATTCTCTGTATTATACGAATATTTTTTGCACTCACTGTGCGTGACATAATTCTCCATATTGAATATAGTCAATATTTAGTGAATGTGTGCAAAATTGGCGTATACATTGGCTATATCGTCTGAAGGCGCCTTATTACTAATTGTAATAAGTTATAGTTTCTACCGAGGATTCGAATTGGGTCAGAATCGAATTGGGCGCTTTTACAGGAAACACCAAAAACTTTAAAGTTAAATCTTACCTTAAAATTTTATTTTCACCCATAAGAGCGTTCACTTTAATTCGACTCTGACCCAATTCGAACCCTCGGTGAACACTTAATATATATTTGTAATTTACGTCAACTTGAATTATTTCATAAATGTATGCAGTCAAAATTGCGTTTAACATCAAGTGAAATGTCTGCTTGAATCAATCGTCGAAGTGAAACTCAAGATTTGAGTATAGAAAATAGGTAAAGTCAAGAGACAATGAAGAAGTGCATCGGCGTTTCTCCATTTTCTCCTCTATTTCCGAGATTTTTATGAAAATGCGTGAAGTTTTAAAGAGGGGACAATCGTGTTTAGCCGAGTATTGATTAAGCTTGTTGAAAAATATTTGAAATTCGTGTCCGCCAGGTGAACGCGATGTCATGCATTTTCGCTTTGTGCGTACGATAACAAATGAAACCCTCGCAGGCAGTTATCGTCACTCGCATGAATAACAAAGCAAACTATAAGTGCCAGTGAATTTGCAAATATAGGAAGCATAAAAATTCATCGAAAGAGGCAAGCGTTTGTATCCAATTAATATTTATCGAATCGTATGTCGTAACTGTAAACCTGTTGCAATTATTGTATGAGAATATAAAAGATAATATCGATAATGCAATACAAATATGTAATGTATAAAATTCTTTGTGCACACATATTTATCAGATTTTGTCTCTTTCCTAGCGATAGCTAAAAAGCACGATGGCTGAGAATCAATGATTGGATTCTTTTCAGAGATAAAATAAATATGAGAGAGAGAGAGAGAGAGAGAGAGAGAGAGAGAGAGAGAGAGGAGAGCACGCCAGCTATACACGCGTGTGTTTGTACAATAATAACAACAATAATACTACGATAAACAAAACCTGCTCGTTATTAAATTCAATGTCAACAATACTAAAAAATCGGCCAAAGACGAGCGCGAATATAAATTAAGATGTTCTAACTTATTATAAAAACTTTTTAATGTTAAATATGCATTAAAATCAAGCGAAATTAGTTTCGACTTTACAAAAGTCTTTTTTGATTGTTTCTTCGCTATGTTCACAACTTTCGGTCCGTTAGATAGATAAAGACGAACAATCAATCTGTCGGCGCTTGTTGAACAAACGATTGTTCGTCTTTGTCTATCTAATCTAACGGACCGAAAATCATGGATATGAAGAATACAATAAAAAAACCGTGGACATTACCGACGGGATCGTGAACATTGGCTACGTAGTTCAATGTCCACGTTTTGTGGATATAGAGGCGCTTCAAAATAAGGTTGCAGCTAAATCCTGGACATGACAGCTCTGAAGCTGGTTCTGCGTGTTGCAACCGTTGTGGTCCAATCAGAGTCAAGCTAGATTGATGTTGATTGGACCGCAACGCTTGCGACGCTGCGATGCGACTAATGTAGAACTAGCTTCAGGTTTCTCTCTGTTAATACGCGTATCAAGTGCTCGATGTAAAAGAAGACTATATCAATCCATGTAACCGCACCCTAAGGCCCTGCGCACAATAGAAGGAATAAAGAATTAGGAATAAAGAATAAACGATTTCAACCTATTAAAAATTTTATATTCGATTTCTGATAAGTAAAGCCCAAGATACAATGCGAGGGGATAGCGATAGCAATAGGAATAACATGATTTCAACCTATCAGAAATCGGATACATCGGAATACACGGTTTCTGATAGGTCTTGAAATCATTTATTCGTTATTCATAATTCCTTATTCTTTCTATCGTGCGCAGGGCCTAACAGCATAAACCTCATCGATAAAATGCATTGCTGTCAAAGTCATTTATCGACGCAGCTCTCCTCGTGACCGATCGAAATTCATGGTGAATGAGATTTGAGTTTGATAGACGTCCGTCGTCTGAGGCTGCGCTACTAGAAAAGGATTCTTCTTAATCGGCCGTGATTGGGGTTGGGGCCGTTGGGGGTCGTCATCGGCGCCATCAGCATGCCTCACTGCGCCATCGCTCGACTTGTCAATTGGCGAACATGGCGGGACGGGACAAAGGACGCGTTCGTTGGCGTTCGTAAGGTTCGTACCAGGGCAAGCGGAGAGACGCCATGTTCATTTGTCAACGGACGTCAAGGTGCTCTCGTACGAGAGGAGCAAGTAGCCGCTTGCCGCCCGTCGCCGAATAGAGGTTGGAAGTTTGAGGGTATCGAGGATCTTCGCCGGTTTGAAAGTAGAAGATTTCTCGTCTCGTCTCGTTTGATCCGTTTGGTCTTGTCTCGTCATGGAGAGCGACGCCGTTTCCGAGTTACGGAAGCGCAAACGCGAGGAATACGAGATGCAGCTGTTCGGCTTCCATTCTCGAGTCGTATACGCGACTAGTAAGTCGCCGCCTGCATTTTAAATTTTGATGTGAAACGCTTTTTCAGATCGCACTTTACGACGAACGCTGGACGAACAGGAATTCCGGCGGGGGCACCGACCGTTACGGCGAGCCCCGCGCGTCAAAATCTCGTTGCCGCTGGACGGGTGTACTCTAGTTTCATGTGGCATTCGATCATGACTAGAGTCACACTCGTCCAGCGACCGGGACGATTTCGACGGATTTTTCGCGTGGGGGGACGCGAACGCAAAATCTTGCTTTCATAAACGATGTCGCTAGGCGAGGACGCTATGCCGGTGAAAAGCGTCGCCTCCCAAACGCGTCCTTTATCTCGCCAATCTCTCTTAGTTATAATTTCCATAAGATACTTGTACAATTCCTTTTGATTTTTTATTTTTGACTTTTTTTCGCTTTTGTGAATCATCAAATCGTTATACAACTGTAATTGCTGTATAATTCCTCACGTTTATAAAATTTACTGAAAGAAAAGAAGCAGAATATCAATCCTTAATCCTACTTGAGAGAAGAAAGATGAAAATTTTTTTTAAACTTGATAATAGCTTTGATATAAATCTAATTTCAGATTATTTTGTTTATTTTACGTAAATAAGAATATTATTACGAGCATTCTTGTACGATCATTAATCTAACTGTTTCTAATTTATGAAAAATTATGCATGGCTGCTCATGGTAATCTTGTTACTTTCTCTTTGATCTGTTATAGTCGAGAATATTGTGATGGAAAGGATACAGTCTAGGAGCAGAAAGTTGTGTGAAACATTGGAAAAAATGTGTAAGTCAGACTCGGATAATTTGGCCATGCTAAAGGCAAACGAGGAAAAACTTGTAAAGACATACCATGCAGCTTCTATACCTCATTTGAAAAACATAGAGGTAATTATTTTTGAACTAAATCTGTACATCCACTTATAATTAATTACATTGCCAGGGTTGATAAAGAGACTAATGTTTTTTTTTTTTTTTTTTAAGAATAAAACATTGTGTTTCTTCTTAAATATGTTTTTAATGCTTCAAATATGCTTTAAATGGTACTATAAAAAAGATATTTAAAACATATTAAAAACATCAACTAAGCATGTTTCAAACTGTTTAAAACATGTTTTTTTACCAACCCTGCTGATTATACCTATTTTTTTATCTAAAATATATCTGTTAAAACTTTAAAATAAAATTATACATATGACATTAATCCTTATTTTATTCTGGTTAGAATATTGTGAGGAAATTTGTTGCTGTACCCGACAATGTTCTGGCGAATGAAGATAAACTTCAAGAGATACAGTACACAGAAGTGGAGTTTGAAAGTATACGTGGAAAACTGGAAGAATTTCAGCAGAGAGCAAGACGAGTACATATCATGGTTTTAATTATCTCATAAAAAAAAATATCGTCGCTATTTTCGCTATGTGTAAATGCCGCGGCATTTAAGCATTATATAACTCACGGTTTCTTTCAGGCGGCTGTGTTGAACGCGGCATTGAAGGAAGAATTACAGCTCGTAGAACAATTTTCGATCTGTGCAGATAATACCGATAGGCTGAGTCATATAATTGAAAGCGGCATTGCATGCCCGGATATCAGTGATAAAATTCATGAATTAGTCAATTATTATAAACAATTCAGCGCGTACTTCGGTGATCAGGTATCTGTATCGCAAAAGTCGCTCTACAATATGCAAGATGATGTCAAATATATAGACTGCGACATGGATACCGTATAATTGCATAGAAAAGAAGAAATTCTTTTTGTAATATTACTATATACCTTTTTGAAATTATTAATGTGTAAATATGTAAATAAATGCAATCTGGGCATAATTTTTTATACGTGCGTTATATAAATTGTATAATTTAAAAATCGATTAAATATATTCGTAATGTTAAATGCTAATGGTTTTTATTTTCCTCAGTTTTTTTCCTCTATCTCTTTCAAGTAGTTTATATTCTATGAAATGATTACTCACACATTAGTATGTATGTGATAAATTTTACAAAAATGAAGTATGTAAATATAATTATATTTGAAAGTAATTGTCTTTTAAATGTTACGAACTTCACAATGCAAAATTTTCTACATTTTATTTTAATAAAATCTCTTGCATCGGAATAATAAAGAGAAATTTTTAATCTGTTATCGACTAGAATTTATCGTTTACCATCAGTTACTAATCCCCTAGCAGATACTGACATCTGCTTCTGACTCTCTTATAAAAAGAAACAAAAAAGAAATAGAAATTATAAACGATTTTTCAACATTTTTTTAAACTTACAACTATAGAGTCAGACCGAAATTTCGGTTTCGGTCAAAAATTAGGGTTTCCATTTGATTTCGGTTTCGGCAGAATAAATTTCGGTGCGTAAACCGAAACTGTACAAGTTGCAACGCGCCGTTGAGCGTTCAAAAAACAGCTGTTTGATTTTAATTATTAACTCGTTGATTAAGCTTAAGACAATTTGAATACAAACTTTGATGTGGTCTTAATATAATAACTGTGATTTGATTTCTTTGAAAGTTGAGGATGCAATATTATTATATTATTATAGTTAGATATATTTTAATAAAATCTTATTTTTTAAAGAGTACATAAATTTGTCATGATTTCTGAAAATTATACGATCTCTGTAAAATTAATCCAAAAATGCCGATTTTTATTCCGGCCGAAAAACTTCATTGCTTCAATGACGCATTCTCTATTCCATAGTCCTTTTCCGCACCGTGTGATTTCACCCTAACTCTATCAACGGATTAACGAGAAAAGTAACATAAAATTTCGTTACTCGTTACTGAAAGTTGTAACTTAGTTACCGTTACTGTTACTCGCTAGGAAAAGTAACTACGTTACTCATTCGTTACTGAATAAAGTAACGAAACCAGTAACTTCGTTAACTCTGATAAAAGCTAAACGCGCGGTTTAATGTACCATATATTCCAACAATGAAGTGAGGTATAAACATGTGGTATAGTCATTTTGTCTTATTTCTCGCCCGGGAACTCTTCTGAGAATCCTCCCTTCTCACTTTGTTTATACGTGGAGCAAGAGAGAATCATAAAATTCTGAGTATTAGCCTTCTAATCGCCTTCCACCATCTCGATAGCTTTCTTATCATACGCAAAAACATATATAGTCGATGTTAGCAATATTCGTTCTGCTCCTTCAGCTTTATTGTGTTTGATAAACTTATCTATCATATTTATATGTATTTATAATTGTTATTCCACAATAAACATATAAATATTGTATATAGCACGAACAACAAGTTTGGCTTCTTAGCCTTTTTACGTTTTGATTATCCATCATATTCTTCATACAGCCTGATCTCGAATATTCAAATTACATTGTAAACTACGTTTTCGAGTGCAAAATAATATCACTGTAAGAATATAAATTAATTTGACGATTATTGCGAAAATGAAAGGTTTAAATGATATAAAAATAATGATCTAACGTATAATTAACAATTCAGGCTTTTTTTATATAAACGCGCTTCTCGCCTTGAGTTTACAAGTAAATGTAAAATGCAAATCAAGCTTTTTTGAAACTTCTTCAAAGAAAATTTTCAAACGGCTTTCCTTAGAAGGAAGATATAGAAGTCTAAAAGAAGTTTAAAAAGGAAAACACCGATATCTCTAAATAAAACGGCGAGTCTCTAGTTACCGAGAAAAACATTTGACGTATCGTGTCGCACTTTTCCTGGAATCGGGCCCTAAATTCGCCCCACTTCTTCTACGCGTCTCCACTTCTTCTTCGTGCCTCGATAAATTCCGATCCTTCTGGAAATCAGTGTAGATACAGCTCGCGTGATTGTACGTCAATGACGATGAGTGACGACGGTGCGGATCTCGCCGGTGAGTGCCAACGTACCATACGACTCCTGGAGATGCAGCGTCGCACGCACTACGACCTCGTCCAGGTACGGACATTCACTGGTTACCTCTTCTATCTTTCAGTACTAATACAGCGGATAGAAAACTAGTTTTTCTCCATCAGCGTTAGAAAAATTAAATTAATGACTCGAGTGATTTAGAAGTGAGATTTCTTATAATTTATGTCTTATATTATCTTTTACCTGTCTTTTAATATCTATAAAATTAAGATACACTCATCAGGCATAGAGAATAATCTTTCCATCGCACAAATAGAAATTAAAATAGTATATAACTTCTCGGTAAACAAGCTGACGTTATTTCGTCATTTTTACGTCAAAATTACGTTAGCTTGTTTGCTCTCTCTCTGTCAAAATTACGTTAGCTTGTTTGCTCTCTGTGTGTGGATTGAAAATGTCTATGATTTATAAAAATTTAACTTATAACTTCTTAGTTTTCACTAGCCTTCGATGTCATCAGACATAACGTTATATTTTCATTGTGAAAAGAAGTTGAGAAACATTAAAATAATGATTTGAGAACGTCGGCAAGCGGGCGATTTATGAAAGCGTAATAAGTAATGTATGGATCTTTCTGTAACATTTGCCTTACCAATCTACTTATAAAATAATGAACTTCACTTAGATAGATTACGTCTTTCGCTAATAAAAAGCTAATCAGAGGAATATATTTAATAAATAATAAAAAATCCGATCCTCTCCGTCCACTCATTAATTATAACGAAGTTATCGTCCTTCGGTTTTAATTTTTAATTATCCTATCAAGTTAAATAATTAATACGTTTATAAGCACATTTAAAGCATTTCTGTCATTCTATCTTCGTTGTTCATTAGACGTAAAACAAGAATAGAATGACACAAATAACGCGAGACACTGCCGTGCCTCCTTTACGCGAACCGGCGAGTTGCGCTCGATCGAGATCATCGGATCTCAATAACGGCTGTCCCGATCGAGTTTTTAAGTATACTTCATCGATGGCTTATGCTCCGATTGTATCATACGTGCTTTTATTTTCTCTCTACGTACCCTATAAGTAACTAATAACGTCTCCCCGAACGCACCTTATCCCGACTGCGCAAAAAAATATTTCGCGTACAGGAGAACGGCCAGCGACGGTTGACGGCACCAGAAGTAGCGCGAGGTGAACGGCAACGCGGTAAGGGTGCGGAGATATTCCTCGGTCGTTTGCCGCGCGACTGTTACGAGGACGAGCTGATGCCGTTGCTGGAGCAGATGGGCCGGCTTCTGGAGCTGCGATTGATGCTCGATTTTTCCGGATCAACGCGCGGCTACGCATTTGCGTTGTTCGAGGATCCGCGGATTGCCCGGAGGGCGTGCGAGCGTCTCGACGGCTACGAGATCCGGCCGGGTCATCGCATCGGCGTGGTCAAGTCCATGGACAACTGTCGGCTCTTCTTCGGCGGCGTGCCCAAGACTAAGACCAAGTCTGAGTTCATAGAAGAGCTGACCAAGATACTGGACGGCATCACGGACGTTTACGTTTACCCGAATGCCCACGATCGCAACCTAAATCGTGGTTTCATCTTCGTCGAATTCAAAGATCATCGGGCAGCCGCGATGGCCAGACGCAAGCTTATACCCGGCAAAGTGATGTTGTGGGATCATGAGATCGCGGTGGATTGGGCGGATCCGGAGCCGGGTGATCCGATCGACGAAGACATCATGGAGACGGTAAACTATCAGTTTCTCGAAATTGGAAGAATATTAAAAACTTGATTACCATTTTATCAAAATCTGCTTTCATATATATCTCTGTATTTGCCTTTTTTTTTTAAATATAATTTAATATATAAGTTTTTCTTTTATTTCATGACTCAATCAGTATTCTATTAATTTGCCGAATTTAATGATACATGTGTAACGTGATATTTGAACAGATAATCGATATAAACGGAAGAAAAATATAAAAATGTATGATTACATAAAATAAAATACAACAAAAAATGTATTTTACTAGATATGTAACATTACCCAAATGGAGATTAAATAAATTGGAGTGTTTGTACCGATTGTGTTGTGTAATTGTACAAATATATTTCGAATTGGGAAGAATTAAAAAATAAATACTTTTTTACGTTTGGTAGTTTATTAATTTACTTTATTCTACTCAGACAAAAATTTATTAAAAACGCATGACTAATATAGATATTTTTTCAAATATTATGGAATATGAATAGTGATGTTGTGTCCACATTATTCGTTTTAATTGAAGTCGACGTTGATTGAATCGCAAATTTATAAATAAATACCCGAGAAAAAATGTTTTATATATAATTTTATATAATTTTCATATATGGATATATTTCATATATAATTTTAGGTCACTATAAAACCTTTTTTTCCCGGATACCCTTGCGTAATTATAAAAAAAAAGAATAAATATCTCTCATGTTTAATTTCCAGGGAGATTGTATTTGCCAATAAACGAAGCAATTTCTGAAAAAATTCTGTAAAAAAAACGCGTTGGTATAAAATAAATCTGCCACAACGAAATCACATCTCATATCACTGTGTATATATATATATATATATATGTGTGTGTGTGTGTGTGTGTTTTATATATATATATATATATACACAATGACACGAAACAGGATATGTAGTATACTAACTCAATATCATACGCGATGACAAATAGGTAACGGCTCTGTTCCTAAGGAACCTCGCCCTTGATATGGCACAGCAGAAGGTGAAAGAGATTCTCTACAAGCACACGAACGTGCCCATATTGAAGCTAAAGAAGATCAATCACTTCGCTTTCATTCACTATGAGAATCGCGAAGCCGCAAAGACTGTAATGGACATAATGCAAAGTGAGTATACGAGTGGTGTAACTAAAGCCAAATAATGAAAAATTAAATGATTAGGAATGCAAAGGAATAAATATAACGATTTTGGCAGAAATGTACCAAATTTTAAAGGGATAGTAATCCGTAGAAAATCAATTGTCAATAGTTAATTGTAAATAAAGCGTTTCATACTTTCACCACTATAATAATACATAAGTAACGCGTGAAATTAATCTTGTTAATAAAATTATTTTCTGATCATATTTGCTTCTAAAATTAATATATACATCGTGTTAAATTAATGTTACTAAAATTTTTTCAGCTAAATAGAAATCGTTGTCCTTGTCCTAAAAATGTTATTTTATTTCATGTTTATGGAAAACAGATTCGCGTTTAGTTCTCTGTATGAATAATTTTACTTTTTAGAATCGGATAGCATCGTTGAGAAGCAGGGTTGGGAAATTCGTTGGGCGAAACCTATTGGAGCGTCCAAGATTCTGGAAAGAGCACGATACATTCGTGAGGCGGTAGCCAACTCGAAAGTAGAAAAAACCGAAAAGCTCCGTTCAAAAGAACGAAAGAAACGCTCCAGTAAAACGCCCACGAAAACACACGAAGATAACGTATACCTGGCACAGATGAAAACCCTGCAAAACTTCGTCAAGGAGAGATTCGATGCTACGTGTACTTTTGACTGCATACAAATACTGGATGCATCCGGATATATTGGCAGGGTAAACGTTTTAATAAATTTGCGACTTCTTATCTTTTCATTTATGTTTAATGATTTACTGCTTCCTTTTGTGTGACTATGTTTTAGATAATTGTTCATAAAGATGAGTTTATAATGTGCGAATTTCAAGGAGAGCCAATGGCATCGAAACATAAAGCCATGAGCGAGGCATCTATTAAAGTGTACCAATATTTGACCAGTATGCTCCCGAATAATGGTACGTATAACATTTTGGCTTGTGTTATATTAAAAGCTTTTGATTATTTCATTCTCTATTTGCGCGCGTGAATCAAAGGCGATTTTGACAAAATGCTCCTACGCGGATTAATTCAACTTCAACAACGAAAAACATGCGTAATATTTACAAAATTTCGATTTTCAATTGTAATCGACAAGTACCGTATACCGCGAAATCTCGTTCGTGCTTTGTTTGCCTCGAAAAATATTTGCAATACACAATGCATCGCGTTTTAACGATATTTTGGGCGTATTTTTATAGTGCCGCAGTTATTCGAACAGCATTATATTGTATCAGGAATGGACATTGACCCTGTGATTGGTACACCGAATGTTTGGCATCCAGGATTAGTTCAAAATTAGATTACTATTGCTTTGACATTCGTTTCCAGTTTTACTTTTTAATTGTTATATACACACGCGAAAGCTATTGACGCAATTGCAAAAAAGAGATCGGTAATTCTACCTCATCTATATTTTAACTCAAAATTTTTAATGACTGTCAAATGTTGATAGTGATCAATGAAGAAGATATTTCAGTTCGACGTCTGATTCTAAGTTACAATTCCGAGACAGTGTATTTTTGAATATCGATACTCAAAATATATTTAACTTTATTTGAATGTTTAAGATAGTTTTAACTTTAAATTATTAAAGTTTATAAAATTACAATGTTGATGAAATATTTTAATCTATACAAATATTATCTATGATGTACAAATGGCCACTTATTTAATGATAACAATTAATGAAGTCCTTGATTCAAAAATCATAGTTCTTACAATTAAACAGTGACACTTTCAAAAAGTCTAAGACATATTGAAAGAAAAATGATTAAAGTTTGTGCAAAATTACAATGTATATTTGATGCCTATTTGATCTATAATGAAAATTTATGACTATTTACACTGATGGCCATTTAAAAAAATTTATCTTAAAATTTATTATTTTAAAAAGTTTACAATGTAAGAAATTTATTTCTGAATGTATTTATTTATTTTTGATTATTCAAAAAGTCTCATACTTGCAAACTTCATACACTGTAAGGGATTTTGTAACTTTTTATTTTATTAAAAATTACTTCATTTTATTTAATTCAAATTCTTAATATGTATGTTTATTACATGTTATTAAAAGATATTTTATTTAGTACATCTTTATGTATATGTAACAAAAAAATTAATTTTTATGTTTAATTTAAATAAGATACCAGCTGTGTTCAGAATAATTATTTTAGTTGAGAGACACGCACAGCGTGTTGCATCGAATTTGTGATCATATGTTACGTTTAGTTCATAATACCTTCACGCATAATTTATATTGCATAGCGACAAAATTAATTTAATAAAGTTATTTTTGTACGAATTTATAATCCTTTTTTTTCTTTAATCTTCCTTATTCTATTAATATAGAGAAGAAATACTTCTCATATTTTTTTTAATACAGATCTTAAATATACATATAAAACGCTGTACATTAAAGTATACATATATAGTTACGCGTTTTTCTTTTTATTCATTCATTTTTTAAGCATATATATTACTACGTAGCGATTAAGAGTTCTTGCAATTATAGAGTACACAGTAATAAATTTACCTCAATGGTAAAAGTGCCTCAAGATTTATCTTTATCCTAAAAGAAATTCCTAAGAAGACGGAGACATAGCTCGTTTATCATTTCAATGAGAAAGGGCTGAGCGCTCTTTGCATTGAAGGCAGAATCGTGGAGTAATCCTCCAGGATCCTTCGTACCGTTTCGTAATCGGTGTTGCCAGTGGCATTGCTCGGTCTCATACAACGTACTAATCGACTGGTTTGATTGCTGCATTCGGCCACGTTACTTCTCTCTTGCACGCTAAAGGTCTCGTGCGTGAACACGAGCAGCTTCTCCACGACGCAGTTAAGCACTTTGTCACTCGGCAACTCGCCGCGGCCGTTCTCGACGCAATCCTTGATCATGGCGTTCATCCAGTTCCAATCCTCCCACATATCGAGTATTTCGACCTTTTGGTTCTCCAACTGCCACGTCAAACGAGCGCGATATCTGAAAGTGTGTTACGTACATATTAGTAAATTTATAAAAAAATCCTTTATTTTTTATCAACGTTTTTTTTTGCTTATTTAAAAGAATGATAGCTTCTTTTATTAAAATAATTTAAGTTTGCAGATTAGTTAACGAGAAGAAAAATTTCATATTAGATTAATCAAAGTTAATAGTGAAATAGTTTAGTCAGCCTCTTGTTAATGTTTCATCGATATCTCGATTTAACTTACGCCCATTGCCAGGGATTCTTGCTGAATTTTACTTTCGTCAGATTACCCAGATAAGCGAACATATCGTAGTTGACGGAGTTAAGTTGGTTGTAGTCGAAGTAAAAGTTTTCCAAATTACTGAGCTTTTGAAAGATCGCATTGTCGATCCACTGAATGAAATTGAATGACAAATCCAGAGTCTGCAGAGAGTACATGTTCACGAACCAATCTCCCGACACGTATGTCAGTTTATTGCCCCAGAGCATCAGTTTCTTCAACTTCGTGAGACCTATGAATGCTTGATTCTCGCACGTTTGTATGCCTGATTCGTGCAGGTCTAAGGTCATGAGAGTCGCTCCGAATCTCACAAAAGTATGGCTTTAGTAGAATGAAGTGAAAAAAATCGCAAATTAAAAATGTCGGAGACGAGAAATTCGCGTCAGCGCAAAAGCGCGTGTAATATATTCGATGAAAAATGAATATTCAAAACAGAATTATTCAAAATAAACACGAATATTCCGAAATATATATATACAGATTTTAAAAGGAAATACTGAATATCCTTCGTAAAATAAATGAAAAGAGATAGAAGACAAATTCTAAAATATATCAAAAAATAGATATCGGAAAAAAGTATACAAAATACACGATAAAATAAAATCATATCGTTGCATATCACGGTGAAAATCTATTATATCATAATATCAATTCAATCAATTTTTTCTTACAATCTTCAAACAATTTCTTTTCTTTTCTTACCCGCGTATGTTAGGAATATTTGAATCAAAAATCGCAATGGTCGTCGTGTTGATCCACGCTTTGTCCAAATACTGCTGCAGAGTTGTTAATTCAGTGCATCGAAAGTCAACATCATTCGTCTGTTTATACACGATCTTTACGCATGGTGACAATAAAGCCGCTTGGAAAAGCATGTAAAGAAGATAAATTATTAACAAACGCTGCATCGTCGTGAATTCGTTCGCGACAAAGTTATTGAATTAACTAAGTTCTCGAGACAGCGAACGATGGATAAAACATACAATGTGGGCAGCACATCCTCAAGGCTTCTTCCTGTCGATGATAACGCAAATCAGCACGTATATAATTGAATTGAAATTTCTACGCGTTTATTTTTATCACCAGAAAAGCATCGGGACATCCTGAAAGGGAAAAGTCGCGCTCGCGGATGATAGTAAAAACAACATTTATTGTCATACATATATACATGTCACAATTCTCGTTAAATACGGCTGTTCCTAGAGACGAATAAATTTAATTCAGTCAATTTCGAAAGACCAACGAATTCCGAATTCAGTCGGTTCTTAATATGGACCCCTCATTAATTATTCTGTCGATGTATACGCTTATCTATTAACCGCGCGATAATTACACGAATCAATCGGAACGACTTTTATAAGTCTTATGTTTAATAATGTCTACTATTTGAAAATATGTATAAAATGGTGATCTTTTTTCGAAACAAAAGAACGCTGCACGTCAATTTATCGTCTTATATTCGATAAAAAATGAATATTAGCAAATACTGTATCGTCTAGAATGTATAATGGCAGTTGTAAGCGTGCGTTTTTAACAGCGTAATCTGCACCTACTTCTCAGATACCTCTTTTCGTGATTTCATTTACTTTTTAGACGTAACTACATTTATTGTCATAAAAATGTCTTATTATTTACAGCAAAATATCGATTCTCTCGATATCTCCATCACATTTTTCTAACACCTAAACGAAAATATGGCAAAAAAATTATTTGAATATCAATTACACGTAATTCCACTCTACGTGTCTTTCATCAATCGGAATAACGACAGATAATCCGATTTCGTTGCAATTGAACGATCTCGTCACGAAATGTCTTGCTTTTCGTTTCAATCATGAATTAAAATCACCAGGATGATCACAACGAAACCGACGTGACATAATCGCGAATCACGTAATGATTTAACGCCGTTCTGGACGTCCAATCGTGTGGGCGCCGAATGCGCCGGAGCTGGTGCTGGCGGTGGAAACGCGGAAATTCTCGATTTGTTCACGATATTCGGTGATGAGCTGGACAAATTCCGCCTGGACATCGGTGTGGTGTGGCCCACATTCTTCAGGGTCAGATCCGACTCCGTTTTGTTAAGCACATACGAGTACTTCTTTCCCTTCTTCTCCGTCTGCTTCCACCAGATATGCTTTTCGATAAGCTCGGTATTTCGTGTGGAGGCTGTCGTTGATTTGGATATCTGCAGCTCTGTAAATTCGATTTCAGAGAGTAATAAAGGCGATTATCAATATTGTTTGACAATTAAGAGACCAGATATCATATAAACATTCTAAAGAGTTTTATAGATATAAAATACATAATAAATTATGAAATACAATTTATTCTGTTCTTTATGCGCATATCGTATTTTCATTCTATAAAAATCATAAGACGACGAAATAGAAATAAATACTTTCGACGGAATTTGATAAGGTTGTGGATTTATAATATTTAATTTATAAATATTTTTACATTTATATCGATAGTTGCTATACTGTACCTTGTAGTCTTATGAATCCTTCCGCTTTTCCAAAAGCGTTTTCAGCGGAGCACGTGTAAGTGCCGAAATCAGATTTGTCAAGGCGTTTGACAGTGAGATTTAGCTGATATGCATAGTCGTTGATGATTATTTCTGATATATCGTGTTTCTCGCTCTCAAGTAGTTTGACTCCTAAAGTAAATATCTTCTCTTCAGAGATAATTCTATCGAGAATATATACTGCATTTTATATTCAAAAACAAAATTCTTTTTCATTTTAAGCTTTTCCGAGCAGCGAAGAGAAAGGAAAATAGGATCATTTTTTATTAATATGAAAGAAATGCTTATTTTCATATTTTCAATAAAATTAATAATTCAATGGCCCGGAATGAATAATAAAATTGACGTGGCTATTGTCGCAGAGAGAATTGTTGAACTATCTAACTTTTTATCGAATTTTTATCAAATAGCTATCTAAAAATTTTTTTAGTTTTTAATCTCGGTGCATGTATAATAAAATTAACGTAGATATAATATTCTCAGTTAAAACGAAATGCTTTATATATACCTTCATCGAGTTTTTTGCGAATCCTAGGATGGAGAGTGCCAACGAATATACATACAAGTCGACGAAATAGATAAAGAAAAAATTTATCTCAAATAATGACTGAAAGAAAAGATAATTACGAAGCAACTAAGCTGTGCTCGAAAGGAATAAACAAGTATTTGGTACACGTGAAATGAAAGCCGGTGTTCTCTCACCATTATTTCTGTACCATGTGTTTAGAGCCTTCGGCGAAGACTCCACGTAGCACTGAAGAAGAACGTCGCTGTCGACGGGTGCCGCTACTAACTGGTTTGAGACTTTAATCAGCGGTTTGACTTTAACGAGAAAGATGCAATTAGTCGTGTAACTTGGTCGAACGGAAGTTGCTACCTAGGAGCAACACGCGTACACTTACAACGAACGTTGACGTAATATCTCTTGCTGACCGACGGCGGCACTCCGTTCGACGCGATACAGAGATAAGATCCCATCTCCTGTCGTTGAATACCCCGCAGATGAAGTTGCTCGCCCTCAAATGTACGTGCTGCTTTAACATTTCCGACGTGATAAAGGATGAAAGATTCGAAAATACAGATGTCTTTTAGACGCTCTAAATTTTCGACGCAATAAGCTTAAACCGGTATTATTTCTCAAATATCATCTCTTTTATGCAAAAGCTTAGATGCGCTATACATTATCTCTGCCACGGTTTCTTTTCCGAAAAATAAAAAAATTGTAATAAATAATTAATCAATGACTATCGATATTCCAATGTCAATTTTTATCTCGGTTTTAAGTAAGAAATCTGTATATTTTTTATTACTGTAGATTACTCCGTGTCTTCAATCCTGAGAAAAAAGATGTCCACTCTTTTCGGAAATTTAAATAATTTGCGGAATGTGAGTTCGAAAACGTCTTATCGCGTAAAGACATGGTAATTAAAAGCTTTTGAAACAATATAAAACCAGACTTGTAATGTGTGATTCTAGAGAGGAGACGGCGAGTCACTCTGGCGGGGTGGAGATATCGCGACGGCATAACGTTTTCGCGACGCAGTGTACACACTGGATATTGCAATCGGGTTCGCGAGTCGATAGAAGGGGGGGCCACGGCGAAAAGGAAATATATGTAAAGTCAACATCCATCACTCACAGTCAGGAAGGCTAATCGGATGGCTGCTTTTCCGCGGGACACGGCGCGGTGCAGCGGACACCAACGACAGGGCGAACCCCGTCGTCGTGCACCGTTGCTCTTTTAAAAGTGATCCGCTTGTAGGGGAATATTTCATCTCGAAAATCACATCCACACATACCGTATGGATCAATTAAAGATAAATCGCTGGACATACGGTTTCGTTTAGCCACGACTAATCGCGTTCTTTTAGAGACGGCATCATAATCATTAGTCATATCCCGACGGTGGAAATTTTCATCTATCTTCGGTGATAACGTATTTCGCGTTTAACAGCATCCTTCGGTGAGGTGTGATGGAATTTTATTTCAACTTTTAAAACCGCAACTGGCAATCATCTTACTTTCACACGATAATTTAAGCATTATTGTTTAATTAACAATTAATCAAATCGGAACATGAGTTTCTATCGTTATGTATTGTATCGTTAGTGACAACGATCACGTAATAAGCATGTTTCTGTCAACATTAATTATCTTACCTTTTGTATACAAATGGAAGAATCGATTTTGCAGAAATATCTAAACATTTATTGCTGAATATAAATCTGAAAATAATTTTATTGGACTATAGTGTTCAATAATGAAAGACAAATATTATAAGCTACTTTTGAATATTCAAAAAGCATTTTTTCAGCATCAATTTATACAGGGTGTCTCGCAATTTTTTGCCAAGCGCTTTTGTGTACATAGACGGATTAAATTGAGTCGAAAAATCCTTTACCATTTTGCAATTTTCGTAATGGTTAACGAGATATTAATTACTAAAAATCGCTTTCTCGTTTTTTGAAAATTATAAATTTTGGACAAAACGCATTTTGAAAGTTTGCTCCTCAATTATTTTGACAGTCCAAAAAAGTTATTTTCAGATCTGTGTCTAACTAAATTTTTAGATACTTTAGCAAATCTTTGAATTTTTATGTAAATCAGAGGAAAAATATTTTCATATTTTATATTTGTATAATTTTCATTTTAATTCTGACGTAATTTTTACGTCTTTTTTAAAACGTAAAATTTTTTATTTTCTTGCATGCATTTGTCCAAATGTTTAAAAACTACTTAGCATCATACTTCGCTTGACGCTGTTCTCGTTCCTCAACGTGATATTGCGGCCATCTTCCCGTCGCCAGATCACCACTGGTTCCGGGTTGCCAGTAGCTCGACATCTCAACATCAGATCGCCGTTTTCCTTGGCGGTTAGCATATCCGCGGTGTTATCCAGGTCCATGATATCGGGTGGTATCACGACCTTCATGTGGCCGGTCTACGCGTAAGATTCGTTACTACTCAAAAAATATTGATCTCGTCGACAATTCAAAATTAATGAGAAAGAGTCTCGAAATATCTAATGCCTGTTTCTACCAATATAGATTAACTTTAATCTTGATTCAACTTGCTTTTCATCTTTTTCTAATTCTTAGAACTATAGGGAATGAGTGTGTAAAATTTAAATTTTCAGATATCAATTAATATTGTCAGTGTTTAGTTTTTCTTTTCGATATATTTTTAATTATTTTCAAAACGGGTGAAAGAAAATTACAATACGAATCGATATCCTTTGTGTACGATAATTAATCTTAATAAAAAAATCTTAATAAAGAATAAAAACATCTCTATAGTCTGAGCTGACTTTTCTCTTTCGTTTGCGCAACGAGAGAAATTAAAAAAATCCATTCTAGCTTAATTTAAAAAAATAACTATCAGAATAGAATTTTACATCACGACATGAGCGTTTCCTAGTTCCGCGCTGAATATTC